TATTAATTTAAGAAATAATAATAGCAATATGATATATTGATAATGATAATAATAATGGTAATAATAATAGTAGTAATAGTAATAATAGCAATATGATAATAATAATATTAATATTACCTCTGTAATTACATTTATATAGCACATGTCCAAGCTTTCAAGCATGCACTATTATCATCTCCAGCTGACCCAACATCACAAGTGAGAACCATTCTCAGCTTGCGGGGAAGCATACAGAATAGCTCACCTCCTAAATGATCTAAATTGTTTCAATGGGAGCCTAAAATAAATCGCCCCCTTTGAAACAATTTAGATCGTTTAGGAGATGGGCTGTTTTGTATGCTTCCCGGGAAGCTGAAAATTTTTTCTGAGTTGTGGCATTGGTGGCCTAGTGGTTAGGCTCTCGGACTCCCACCCTTAAGGTCATGGGCTCGAATCCCATCCGTGGACCGATGTTGTGTCCTTGGGAAAGGCACCATTACACGATTTTTCCTCACTTCACCCAGGTGGGAATAGTCGGCGAAACATCTTGTCAGTTTGTTAGTGTTTGAGTGCTTACTCAGCTGCTTGCACTGTATGCTTCCTGAGAAGCTGAGAATGTTTGTGAGTGTCCTAGGGTTTGCTGAGGTAAAAAAGTTCCCGCATCCGGTCCAGACTTCGGAGATTGCCTTGTTAGTGAGACAACTTCCTGGACCTTCGGCATATTGTCGTAGGGTGGCCAGTTCCTTTCCACGCCACCTTTACTTCTCCAACTCGAAGTCAGGTACCCATTACAGCAGGGTGGGCAGGAGGGGGCCAAAAAAATTTGTGTCCGAACCGAGGCTCGAACCCGGACTTTCTGCTTCAGAGACAAGCGCACTAACCGCTCCGCCACCGCACCCTCTTTCCTGGGGTAATTAAAAAAAAAAAAATAATAAAATTCCGTCTTTCACACTCCCCCACCCCAACGTGCTCTGACCTCTGTTGTATCAACTCTAATATTCGACACTTATATTACCTTATTGTGTTGCAAACACCGTAAAACACTTACTAAAACTCAAACTAACCTCCATGTTTGTTTTGTTCTCAGGATTCCCCGAACTGAGCAGCGACAAGGTCTGCTCCTTGCCCGGAGGTAAGTGACCTTGGTTGCTCTCATAGGAGGCTTTGCGGTAGTGCTGTGTCGAGCGTGTTTGAGTTCTCGTTGTGGGTGGTTGGCGGCGGGTACTCTGGTGTGGTTTGCTCCTTCTTTCTTATCAAACATCTATCGTCTTTATCTCCCTCCTTCTTTTTTGTCTTTGTTACTCCCATGTAACACCTCTAATCTTCGACCTTATTGTGTTGCAAGTGCCGTAAAACTCTTATGAAAAAATGTTTTAAAAATCTTGTTGCACCTCTATTCTTCAGCACTTACATGACCTTATTGTATTGCAAATGCCGTAAAACTCTTACTAAAACTAAGACTAAAAAAATAAAGTTCTCGTTACTCGTGAGCAGCGTACTGCTGGAGCCGCTCCAGTAGTATCGTGTGTGCCTGGAGAGGAGCTGCTGGAATAGTGCTATACCGACAGTACCATCGGTGCTCGTTAGCCGTGTTTCAAACAGTGTCTCTGTTACGACGAGACCTCAGGGGCTTTCTTGTCGTATCTCCATTTTTTCTATCTCAGTGCTCATATGACCTTATGCAGTTGCGAGCGCCGTAAAACCCTGTACTATAAAAAAATAAAATAGTGAAAATGTGACTTCTTCTTCAGCTCACTCTTTGTTAAGAACTGTTTTCACTGTTTTTATGCACTGTTTTCACTGTTAGTAAAAATGGAGATACGACAAGAAAGCACTGAGGTCGAGATTACCTCCCATTGAAAGAAGTGTGCTGAGTAAGCATGGCACTTTCATGGCCAAAAAATTTTCTTTTATGCTTTTTATGTCTCCCTTCCCCACTCCCCCACACACAGGTCACAGGCATGTGCGCACACACACACACACACACACACACACACACACACACACACACACACACACACACACACACACACACACACACACACACACACACATACACACACACACACCCACACACACCTAACACCTTACATCTCTCTCCCCCTTTCATGAAGAAGAAAAAGGATATTTATTATATTTGTTGATCTGTTATTGGAATTTGAGGCAAAGCTAGAGATCACCCCCCCCCCCCCCCGCCACTGACTGAAGTGTCTTTAGGCCATTTCCAAAAGGGGGACATTTCTCATTCTAATGCACTGTAGAATTGTAAATGGGCTGATCCAACAATGTCATGCTCATAACTGTGCCTGAACTACAACAGGGTACTTCTGGGTTTTTTCTTTCCTAATCCTTACTATTGTCATTTTTCCTTTACTTCTTTTGCATGTTTGTCACACTCTTGTGACCCGCTATTTCCGGGGTGCCTTGATAGTCGAAGCAGACTTTGTGCTGTTGAAGCTAGAGAGGTGAGCAGAGTAAGTCTGATTCCCTCTAAGGACTTCTCTGTTGACATCCGCCCCTTGGCGCTCATATGACCAGAGCTGTTAAAGTACTTTTTAAAAAGTACTTAAGTACAAATTTAAGTACAATCTAAAAAATGTACTTAAGTACAGTAAAAGTACTTTCCTATAAAAATGTACTTGAGTACAAGTACTTTTTAAAAAAGTACTTACGAGTACATTTTAAGTACTTTCTGCTAATATGCTAAAACACTTCAGCGCTTATGCAAAACATCATATTTTATAACTTATCCAGTATATTTGACAAATTAGGCTATTTATTACTAAAAATGTAAACAGTATACAAAGCATTTGAATATACAATGTACGCACTGAACGGTGGAAATGGTCCGTGAAGTTGAACAAAAAACAACCCAAACGAACAGACGCAACTAGTGGGTAAGTACTATTATGAATAGAACTTGTTTGAGCAAGACAATGTGATCAAATGTAAGTCAGTCCTAGAGGTTGGAAAGTTCTACAGAAAGAGTATCTAAATTGAAAAATGTAGACACAAAGTTGCTCTTAAGAAAACATAAAATTGATGAAAATGGCCCGCATAGAAATGGAAAAGTGCATTGAATTCTTCATTAACAAATCCTCAAGGAATCAATGTAGCCTTAAGCAAAAACCACCCAAAAAAGTTTAAAAGAAATTTAGACAGCCTAAAAATTGTTAGATACACATTGAGAACACAGTTTCAGTTTCAATTGATTATAGTGGTCTGACAGATTTTGGTCACACTGTGTAGTCCACGGCGCCAACGGCAAACCAAAATACAATAGTTTCCTAGAGTCTAGTAAGTGTAGTGTAACCAAAGATTCTCTACTGCAGTAGTCTCCGCCTAAGATCCCAGTGCTCGGAAGCAAGGAAAATATGGGATCTTAGCCAACGAAGCCAAGGAAGAATCTACAGTGTCCCATGAACTGACGTGACCCCTGGGTGGATTTATGACATATGGCAAGCAAAGAGTGGTCAGCCTTGATTACCAATCACAGTGGCATGAGGCATGCCATAAATAATATTATATATACACACTCATTAGCCTATCGTGGGTCTTGAGATCTTTATCTACGTTTATCCAGTTGCCCCTCCCCTTTACCTGTCCAACAATTTTAGCTTTCCATCTCTGATTGAGTCCCCCCCCCCCCCCCCCAACCTCCTTTGTCGTTACACACCATTACGATGTGACCACACTAATTAAAATTCAGGTTGTCTCGCAAATTCGGGAAAAACTGCTTTCAATGGTCAGGGAAGAGTTCACAGTTTGATGTGATCCCGCCTGGAGCGAACTTGTAGGCCCTACCCACCCAGGGAGTGATGTAAGTTTAGGTGGTGAGGTCAGATGCGAGTGCGATGTTTGGGGAAAAGAAACGCATCGGTCAGTTCACACCTTGGTGTGATCCCGTCTGGAGCAAACACTGTACCGTTTCATGGAGTTTTACAACGCTTGTGATCACATTCACGATAGTGGCTGATCTTTGAGGCGACGGGCCGTTCTTTGATCTCAACTTTTAACTCTTGGCGGTTGATCGGGTTTTTGCTCCGTAAATTATGATCAGAAATGCCTGCACTTACCCTTTCATTAAGCTACCAAAGTACTCAAAATGTACTTAAAAAGTACTCAAAAGTACTTTTATAAAAAGTATCGGAGTACAGTAAAAGTACTGGTTTCAAAAATGTACCGGAGTACAGTAAAAGTACCGAAAATTGTAACGTAAGTACAAGTACCGGAGTACTTGTACTCCGTTACTACCAGCTCTGCATATGACCTTATGCAGTTGCGAGCGCCGTAAAACCTCTACTAAAACTAACTAAAACCTGGAGATAAAAAACACCAGCGCCTTCATTGTATCGTTGTATTGTGCTTTCTAGTTCATCCCAGCGTGACTGGGCAACTGTGAAGAAAAAAATCATTTTTGGTCCTAGCAGCTGGCAAGGTTTTGCCAAATTCTCAAATAATACATAGTGGGTGGTTGACAGGGACTCTGGTGTGGTTTGCTCCTTTTATTTCTTTAAAAAAATCTGTTGTCCTTATTTCTCCTCCTTTTTCGTGTTTGTTACTCTCTTGTAACACCTCTAATCTTCGGATTATATGACCTAATTGTGCTGCTAGTGCCGTAAAACTACTACTAAATCTAAACAGTACAACATTCACGATATTTGTTCTTATCTTTCTTGAGATTTAAGTGTCTCGGAGGCTCTCCTGATGTGTGAAATGTCTCAGACATCTCTTCTTTTTTTTCCTTCCCAGGTTTTGGCAGTGTGAACCCGAATTTGCATCTGCGATCAAAAGGTGAGAGTTGAAAACCTGAATGCTCTGCCCTTTTCCAATGGTCAATGACAGTCAAACCTTGTTGTTCCACCCCACGTTAAACCACCAACTCCCAAGGTTACGGGTAGAATGAGGTTTGAGTATATCATCTCGTCATCTGCCAGATGCGGCAGTAATGAGACAGCCGGGCTCCTAATCAAAACCTTGTGGAAAACCCCCCCCGTATTGAGCATTTTGGACTTGGGTTATTGGGGAAGTTTTCACGAGGCTCGTGTTTTTTTTATCACCGTTTACTGTCGAGTGGGGAGGCAACTCTTTGTATACAGTGAGCAAAGAGGTTATATGCGTCGCGTCACTGTGGAATCAGGCACTCGTCAATTTTTGGGCGCATTGAGTTATTAGTATCATCTTAAAGCTTACTCATTTGTCTTGCATTTGCCGAAAAAAATACCCATTTTTCATTAGTAGAAGTCGAGATGTTTGCGATTTAAGGAGATAGCGGTTGCCTGGTGTCAGAGGTAAAATGAGCGAGAAAATGGCCGCCAAAGTTTGTTAACTGCCAAAGCTTGAGTGCCCTTGAACAAAATTTTGCAGTAAAATCCACACACAAATGTGTTTTTAAATGGACATAAGAGGGGTTGAGCTAATAAAAAATTTTTTTAAAAGCAACAACTACCCAGCGGTCCGAAAATTGCCGTTTTCTTTTATTTCACTATTTTGACGAGCGCAGACCTGCCTAGTGCTACGGAAAACAGGCCAAAATCGAGCCTGACTACGAAAATACTAATTGATTACAAAGGGATACGAATTTACGAATTCCGGGGATGAAAAAAAACGAAACCATAATAAACCGACCGGAAGCGGCGCAGTTCACGAGCTGTACAGCGCCCGGGCGACTACAATACCCGGACTGACTTCATGCGTGTTCGAGTACAAGTACAAGAGACATAGCATAATGAAGTAAAAAGTACTGAACGATACCGAATTGTGTGTTTATGATACAAACGAGTAAGCGAGTCCACACATGCGTGGTAGCCTAGATTTAGGGCCTAGATCTAGTTCAGTGTTATCGATGACAGCTTGCCGCGTGCGATGTTTTCGATTGTGTGAGACGACGACCTGTAGGCTAGATCTAGATATCTGCGAAGCGCCTGATTTCACCACGCTGCCTCACATATTATAATACTAGAGCTCGCGGCAATGAAGTCACACCTGTTCAGACATGGGGAGGAAGGAGGGGATCGTCTTACCCTCATCTGCATGGCCGGCTGGCCCCCATTTACATGGACAATCTGAGCTCCCCCCCCCGCTCCCCACAAGCTGTAGTACACTAAACACCAGCCTCCCTCCGTATTTCAGTGCCTCTTCTCTCTTGCCCTTTTTAACTCCCAGTGGAGCACAGGCCATCAACAACATTACTCCAGCGAAGCCTGTCCTGAGCATTCTTTTCTATCTGTTTCCATGATGTCCCCGCTTTTTCAATTTCTGCTTGTACCGCTCGCCTCCATGTCATCTTTGGTCTTCCCTTCTTACGCTTTCCTTGTGGGTTCCACGTGTATTTCAGTGCAAGCTTGTAGATTTCCTCCTAAGAACGCCGAGACGCCTCCACGTGAGTCTCGAAAAGTACTCGCCCGTCTGTTGAACTGTGCATGTCTTGTCCTTGAGGTTCAGCGTCCCAGAGTGGGCACACGCAGCCCCCGTTCGTTTACGTGGACACATCGCTACCACAAACTCTAGTAATAATAATAATAATGATCATAATAAATTATTAATAGCATATTTGTATAGCGCATACCCCCACTCAACAGCAAGCTCTATGCGCTTTGCACTGTATTATTACCCCAGCAGACCATAGAACACCCAGAAACATTTTCAGCATCCCCGGAAGCATACAGTGAGAGCAGCTAACAAACTGACAATTTCTTTCACTGTCTAGTACTGATATATAATCTTTGACAGTGGGCCAGTTCAGATGGCCCAGGGCATTGCCTCGTTTAAAATTGTCCCCCCCCCCCGCCAAAAAAAAAGAGTCCACAATGAAACCATAGCCAACCCGTCTTGCTTATGATAAAACTGTATGTGTATTGTCCTGATGTCGTTCTTGTTTGGTCTCTTGTTGTAGAGTTGCTGGATAAGTGTGGTGTGTAGGTGGTTGGCGGATGCTCAGGTGTGGTTTTCTCCTTCTTTCTTATCAAACATCTATCGTCCTGATCTCTCCTCCTTTTTTTTGTGTATGTTACTCTCTTGTAACACCTCTATTCTCCGGCACTTATATATGACCTTATTGTGTTGCAAGTGTCGTAAAACTCAGTAGAGTTGCTGGATTAGTTTGGTGTTGTCCTGATGTCGTTGTGGGTGGTTGTTGGGTGCTCTGGTGTGGTTTGCTTCTTCTTTCCTATCAAACACCTATCGTCCTTATCTCCCCTCCTTCTTTTTTATGTTTGTTACTCTCTTGTAACACCTCTAATCTTCTGGCGCTCATATGACCGTATGCAGTTGAGAGTGCCGTAAAACCTCTACTTAAAAAAAAAAACAACTTTCCTATCAAACACCTATCATCCTTATCTCCCCCCCCCCCCCCCCCCTCCTTCTTTTTTGTGTTTGCTACTCTTTTTTAACACCTTTAATCTTCGGCACTTTAAGACCTTATTGTGTTGCAAGTGCCATAAAACACTTACTAAAACTCTTGATGTCGTTCTTGTTTGGTCTCTTGTTGTAGAGTTCCTGGATAAGGACTTGGCCTCAGCTCTCAAGCATTTGGATGAGCCGCTCTATTCTGACGGTAAGTCTGGGGACTGTCTTATGCTCAACCCAGTATCAGTCTTGCCTTGTGGGGTTGTGTGTGTGTGTGTGCATGCCTGTGTGTGGGAGTGTGTTTGTTTGTGTTCAAGTGTGTGTGTGTGTGTGTGTGTGCGAGCATATGTGTGGGAGTGTGTTTGTTTGTGTTCAAGTGTGTGTGTGTGTGTGCGAGCATGTGTGTGGGAGTGTGTTTATGTTCAAGTGTGTGTGTGTTCAAGCATGTGTGTGTGCGCAAGTGTGTGTACGTGTGTATGGATCCGTGTGTGCGCGCACATATGTGTGTGCGCGTAAAAGTTTGTGTGTGTGTGTGTGTGTGCATGTGTTTGTGTGCGCACATAAGGAGGGGAGGGGGGGAGATAGTGGTGGCATTGTAAGTGGTGCTGACATGGATGGATCAAAACATGGCAATGTGTTCATGGTTCCTCGACTGTCTTGAAAAGCCTCGATGACATTTGGTTTAGTGGAAAGCACATTTTCACCCTGCGGGATATGTTGACTCCAAAATTGCTGTCTATTGGGCATCCACTTCCTATTGTCTCTAGAAGCCACTTCATACTGAATATGTACAGTGTATGTGGCTTTAAACACTCAAGGGTTAGCAGGTCCTTATATTTGGGCACCATTGAACATTTCAAACGACGCGTTAAAAATGTGTTGAGTCCAAAAGAGGGCATGTAGAACACTGCTTCTAGGAATTCCAGAGTGATATCGTTAGTTTTTAAACTCTGTAAAGGAAATAAGATATTATTTAAATGCCACAGGGATGGACACTTGAACGTCAAGGATGAAATAAAGAAAAAAGTCAACCAATCTTTTCACGGCTTCCTTTATAAGATTTTTTAAAAATTGCTGAACTTTGCATTTTTTGGTGCTTTTTTCTTTAACGCTTTGCCATCTCAAGGCTCATATAGTAAAAACCCTTGCCATCAAAGACAAAGGCATTTTAGGGGAAATCCAAAGAAACTGGGTGGTAAACATGGCTGATAGGCAAGATTGCCAGATGAGGCGGCAAAGTCTTAAGTCATTTCCGTTTTCAAAATAAGTTTCTTCTTCGTGGATTTTATGTCAAATGAATTCCTTTTGAATGAATTATGTCTGTTCCAAATTACATCATTCTAGAACAATTTTTTGGTGAGATATTCAGAAAAAAAAGTTGTACAATTTTTTTTAGATCACCTTGTATATAATTCAGAACACTGAAATGAAAATGTCTGAGCGTACCTATGGATGACATGCATGGAATGAAATTAATATGAGAGCAAGCATAATTTCTTCTATTGGTGGTGAGGGGGGGGGGGGGAATACATTACAATGTGCTGTGGGTAGCCTGAGGTTTTTTGGTAAGGTTTCAATCTTTTCCCTACAGAGGATGGAAAGGTTCTGTCTATCTCAGAGAGCGGTCACCAGGGACTCAAAGTGAATGCAGGTATGATGATGTGGGTGTGTGTGTGTCTGTGTGTGTTCTTGTAGTAGTAGGTGAACATCATGCCGGGACACGTTATGGTTTTTTTTGGTGGTTTATTTTTGGTTTTTAGTAGAGGTTTTACGGCGCTCGCAACTGCATAAAGTCATATGAGCGCCAGAAGATTAGAGGTGTTACAAGAGAGTAACAAACATAAAAAAGAAGAAGGGAAGATAAGGGCGATAGATGTTTGATAGGAAAGAAGAAGCAAACCACACCAGAGCACCCGCCAACCACCCACATAATGTTTTTGTAAAATCTCGGAGAGCGCTCAGCTGGGACTTGAACTTGAAGGGGATGCGGGTATGATGATGTGGGTGTATATGTGTGTGTGTGTGTGTGTGTGTGTTCTTGTAGTAGAAGCTGAACATCGTGTCGTGACATTGTACTGTTTTTGTCAAATATTTCTCTGGTCCCCTTGAGGGGCAAAGCTGGCCTCAGGCGGGTCAGTACCCATGGTAAACTCAGACAGTCAAAAAGCAAAACGCACGCACGCACACACACACACATAGAGCCACGCACAGGGACAGACACACACACACACACGCACACACACACACAGATAGAGACACTCGCATTCACACTCTTACACACACACAGGCACGCTCTTACACGTACACAGACACGTACGGACACTAAATACTCACACACACACACTGACACACACAGACATACATACACATAGACACACGCACACGTGATGTGCTGGGGGAGAAGCAGACTGGTACAGGCGTCTTATGGTGTAGTAGTGGTTGGGTGCTTCGCTGTCGTATGCAGAGGGTCGGAGTTTGATTCCTAAGGGAGGAGAATTGCTTATTTGTTTTACAAGTGCTGCATTGTTTGAGAGCTGCCAATCAGCTTGTTTAACCCTTTGAGCATGCGCTACTGGTTCACCAGTGGTGTGTAAAATTACCCCTATGCCTTGCGGTGCAACGGTGGCGTGTAAAACTGCCCGTATGTTTTAGCCGTTTTTTGAGGATCTGAGTAAGGAAGTCCGTTTTTGTTATGGAAAAAATGTTGTTTTTTAATAATGCTCCACACGGATTTCCCGATGCCGAAGAAAAACTATGAACTTTCAAGACGAGATTTGCGAATAGTAATGAAAACAAAGCCCATAAGTTAAACGGAGAGATCTTTTTGATTCAGGTCTACTTTGAAAAGCTTGAGTTTATTTATTGAATGCTGGAAAGTGTGCGAAAAGGGTTAGAAAGAGGGGTTATCTGGCCAGTCTCCTTCATCTTGTCGCGACCCGGTGCTTTCCTGTCGTATCTCCACTTTTAATAACAGTGAAAACAGTTCATAACAAAGAGTGAGCTTAAGAAGATGTCACATTTTTGCTTTTTTGAAAAAAAATGGAGATACGATAAGAAAGCACTGAGGTCGTGTGGTCCTGCCGCATGGCTTGAGTCTGTGTTTTGGTTGGCAGCTGTGTGTAAATGGCGAACAAGTTGCCACGGGGGCTGGTGTCTAATTCTCTTGTTTTCTTTCTTCTTCTTCTTCTTCGTCGTGGTCTAACAGCACCAGAGTCCAGAGACGCACCACCAGAGGGCGCCAAGAGGGTAGCCTCACTCAATGTCTCAAGTAAGTCACAGTTGCTGACTTGTCTCAGCTGATCACAGGGTTCCTGCGGCCTCTTGGAATTCAAGGGGTCCTTGAAAACTACTTAAATTTACACTCAAGGAAAAATTTCATTGAAAACTTGAATTTGAGGAACCTCCTTGAAAACTACTTGAATTTTGCCGGATAGGACATGAACAGAGTTTTTGTCGGAAAATGGGAACTACGATTCCTTTCGGACAAGTGTAGGCCTATTGGAAATAGGCTTTCGGCATGAATTTCTTGACCAAATCTCCTTTGATTAAAAAAATTTCTCCTTGAAATCTCCCTGAATTTGGTGAGAAGCTGGTGGCAGGAATTCTATGATTAGACTGAACAAGACGCCACCGTAGAACGACAAAAGTTCTGTCTGCTCAGCTCCGAGTTTTGAGAAACTTGACATTAAAAGTTTTTTTGAGTGTCACATCATGGCAAGCTTTTTCGAATGCAATTCTTTGAATATCTTGATAACGACTCCGAATAGTCTTACAATTTTGATAGAGCAGATAGAACATTTGCGAGGCAGCGTGGTGGAATCAGGCTCTCGTCAAAATAATCAAAATGAAGAAACCTGCATTTTTCCGCAGGTTCGTGAATTTTTATCGAATTCTTGTTTTTTCACTCAACACCTTTCATGCCCATTAAAGAACTCATTTCTGTGTGAATTTTTCTTAAAAAGTTGATTAAATTCACTAACAATGTAAATTTTCAGTGACCACGGACTCTTAAGCTAACGAAATAACTAATATTTGACGGCCATTTTCTCACTAATTTTACCTCTGAAAACAGGTGACCCCCACCTCATTCTTTCGCAAATATCTTGACTTGTATTCAAGATAAATAGATATTTTTTTCATCCAAATAAAGACACGTGAACAAGCTTTAAGATGATACCAATAACTCTTCATGCCCAAAAATTGACGAGAGCCTGATTCCACCACGCTGCCTCACATATGGTTTCTCACCTCATGGTATTAGTAACTCAAAACGGCCGAAGATGTCGTGTACAACTTTTTTCTGAAGTAGCGAAGTGTGGAATGCTTTAGAAAATGTTACATCTGGCTGATTATTTGTATATATATATATAATGTGTTATCTTTTTGCTATTCCAGTGTAGGCTCTCTAAAGAAGACTCCCACTCCCATGACTTTTTTCTTTCAAAACCTTGAAAATTACAGCCTATCCATTTGTGGAAATGGCTTGTGCCTTTCCTGTTCTTCAAATCCCTCTGTAATTTCTTTTCTTTGATACCCTCTGTGTACTTATCTTTAAAACCCTCTACTTTTTTTATATTTGAAACCCTCTGTTCTTTTCTTTTCTTTAAAACTCTCTGTACTTTTCTTTAAAACTCTCTGTACTTTTCTTTAAAACTCTCTGTACTTTTCTTTAAAACTCTCTGTACTTTTCTTAAAAACTCTCTGTACTTTTCTTTAAAACTCTCTGTACTTTTTTTTCTTTAAAACCCTCAGTACTTTTCTGTAAAACCCTCTGTAGTTTTATTTCTTTAAAACCCTCTGTACTTTTTTTTTCTTTAAGACTCTCTACTTTTCTTTTCTTTAAAACCCTCTGTACTTTTCTTTAAAACCCTCTGTACTTTTTTTTCTTTAAAACTCTCTACTTTTCTTTTCTTTAAAACCCTCTGTACTTTTCTTTAAAACCCTCTGTACTTTTTTTTCTTTAAAACTCTGTACTTTTTTTTCTTTAAAACTCTGTACTTTTCTATAAAACTCTCTGTAGGCCTACTTTTTTTTTCCTTTAAAACCCTCTGTACTTTTTTTTTTCCCTTTAAAACCTTCTGTGTACTTTTCTGTTCCCAAAAACCCTCTGTGTGGGTGGTTGGCGAGTGCTCTGGTGTGATTTGCTCCTTGTTTCCTATTAAACATCTATCGTACTTATTTCTCCTCCTTCTTTTTTGTGTTTTTTACTCTCATGTAACACCTCTGACCTTCGGCACTTATATATGACCTTATTTTGTTGCAAGTGCCGTAAAACTCTTACTAAAATTAAAATCCCCTTCTTTTTTGTGTTTGTTACTGCCTTGTAACACCTCTAATGTTCGGCACTTATACAGATTTCAACATAAGTTAAGGACCACTTGCAAACACTCTGAGTGGTCCTATTAGGTCGACCTGCACGTGGGCGTTCTTGGACTGATCCAGTGGCTTGATGGCGCTGCCTCAAGCGGACAATGACAGAGTGTGATACTGCAAGCCTTCTGGCAACTTTTCGGGCTCCAACTCCATCATGCAGCCATGCCATAGCTCTTGCACGATCAAAGACTCTCAGCTTTCGTCTCAGTGGCATATTGATGTGATACTGGATTTTGCGCAAACGGCGGCTTATATTGCCACCAAAGTGAGCACAGTTCGAGACCATGCATCCGTTTATGACGTGCACCAGAAATTTTAACTGGGACATGTCCGTGGTGTTGCACACAAGTCGATAAAAATCTTCAAATTTTGCTAAAATTCCCCGAGGATTTCCGTGCTGCACGTGGTGGTTTTGCCCCTTTTAGGAAGCTTTGCAGTACGCATTGTTTAACCCATTAACACTTTCAGAGAAAAAGAAATGTTGAAACATTCCTTGCTGTCTTTTTTCCGGATAACAAAAAAATCAGGGCTGTCTGTCAAGGTGGTCTTTAATTTATGTTGAAGTCTGTATATGACCTTATTGTGTTTCAAGTGCCGTAAAACTCTTACTAAAACTAAAATCTCCTTCTTTTTTGTGTTTGTTACATCTCTTTTAACACCTCTAATCTTCGGCACTTATATAATTATGACCTTATTGTGTTGCAAGTCCCGTAAAACTCTTACTTACCCCCCGGGGAAGTGCCATTGACTGTAGTGTCTTTAGGCCATTCTCAAATGGGGGACTTTTCTCGTTCAAACATAGTAGAATTGTAAATGGGCTGACTCATGTCACGCTCATAACTGTGCCTGATCTACAACAGGGAACTGCTGCTTTTTCTTTCCTGATCCTTGCTATTGTTGTTTTCCTCTACTTCTTTTGTATGTTTGTCACTCTTTTATGACTTGCTATTTCCGGGGTGCCTTGATGGTTGAAGCAAGAGAGGTGAGCAGAGTAAGTCTGATTCCCTGTAAAGACTTCTCTGTTGACACCCACCCCTTAGCTCTCATATGACTTTATGCAGTTGCGAGCGCCGTAAAACCCTCTACTATAATAATAAACTCTTACTAAAACTAAAATCTCCTTCTTTTTTGTGTTTGTTACTCCCTTGTAGCACCTCTAATCTTCGGCATGTATATGACCTTATTGTTTTGCAAGTGCCGTAAAACTCTGAACGAATAAAACCCCCAACCCCTCTGTGTTTTTCTGTTCTCTAAAAGGCTGCACGGGACACGTTGGCCTGTTTTTGAAGCAAGACCAACGTTACGTCAATGAGCTGGTCTCTCACATTGAGGTCCTGGACGTCCGGTCATCTAGCCATACGCTACTATCCTACGTCCAAGACAATTACCAGGAGTTGGGGTTCGTCAACCGAGAAGAGGTCTTGGTGCACCAGTAAGTTTTGCTCTGTTTCACTTTCTTACTTACTTTTACTTGTACTTTTTCCTTCCTCTGGTATCCTTAGGATGTCGAGGGGAGGTGCAGGTTTCGGTCCTGTGCTAGGTGTGTAGCGTCTGTGATAGATATGTTATGTTGTTCCATGACCTTTTTGACCCCATCCAGCCAGATCTTTCTTGTTCTTCCTCTTGATTTAAAGCTGGATTCTCGGGTGTGGTAAGCTCTAGCCGCTAGTTGTTTCAGGGGCATTCTGGTTAATGTCCAAACCATTTGACTCTTTGACGCTCTATGAATTTTATTACTGGTGGTATTCCGGTTTGTAGACGCATGGTTTCGTTTCTTATGCGGTCTCTTCTGGTGACGTTGATGGTTTTGCGGAGACCCCTCATTTCGCATGCATTGATTTTTCTTTCTTGCGCCTTGTTTAGAGACCATGTTTGGCACTGGTATGTTAATGTTGTTATGAAGATGCTATTGATGAGCTGTGATTTCACTTTGGTTGGGATGTTCTTGTGACTGAGCTGGGGTGCTAGCTGGTAGCTTTTAGTTTTAGTTAGGTTTTACTGCTCCCCCCACCTCACCTGGGCAGTGCTACTGACTGAAGTTGTCTTTAGGCTATTCCCAAAGGGGGATATTAACGTGTTCTTATACACAGTAAAATTGTGAAGGGGTTGATTTATCAATGTCATGCTCATGCTGTGCTGGAACAACATAGAGGGAACTGCTGTTTTTTCTTTCCTCATCCTCTCTACCGTCATTATTCCTCTACTTCTTTTGTATGTTTGTCACTCTCCTGTTACCCGCTATTTCCGGGGTGCCTTGATAGTCCAAGCAAACTTTGTGCCGTTGAGGTTAGAGAGGTGAGCAGAGTAAGCCTGATTCCCCGTCTGGACTTCTCTGTTGACATCCACCCCTTGGCTCTCGTATGACCTTATGCAGTTGCGAGCGCCGTAAAACCTTACTAAAACATACTAACTGCATAAAAACATGTTAATATCCCCCCTATGGGAACGGCCTAAAGACATCTTCAGTCAGTAGCACTGCCTTTGTTGGGGGGTGACTTCTTATGCTAGTGTGTCAATGAAAAACTTCTTATGTGAACAGGAACATATGCAGCGACTGCACCATGGAGGGGGATTGGAATCGATGGCTTTTGAACTACCTAATGCATGCTCTCCCACAAGACTTCTTTTTTTTTTTTTCTTTCAAATAAAAATTTTTTTTTTACGTGCCTATATTTCCATAAAAGTTTTTTGTATCCACATGAGTGCTGCTGATTTATGCCGTTTGTCTTTTTTTTCTGTTTGTTTATTTTGGGTTGTTTTTGTTGGGTTTCTTTCAATTGGGGGG